TCCACTCACCTCAGCCTCCCAGAGGCGCGGGATTACAGGCTGAGCCACCGAGCCCAGCTCCGGCTTATTTTTTGATTTACAGTAGAGACGAGGTCTCACCAAGTAGCCCAGGCAGGTCTCGAACCCCTGAGCTCAGGCAATCCTCTTGCCTCGGCCTCCCAAAGTGCTGGAATGACAGACTTGGGCCTCCAGGCCTGGCTCCTACTGTTTCCTGAATGCGTGTCCATTCTTCATAGGTTTGTTGTCATGTTGGTGCCATTTCATTGTGCAGTTCTTTCAGAAGTGGTCTCAGAGTGGTCCTTGTCTACCCAAGTTTGGATCTTTGAATGCTGGTTTGACTCGACCTGCTGCTCAGCCTCTAATTTCCTTCTCCTGTGTCTTCCTGCACTTGTGAGACCAGAAAGCTGCAGGCCTTGTTTTCCAGCTCCCTTGTAGCCGGGGTTCTGGATGTGATTTACAGAAAGCCGTCTGTCTGCCTTTGCATGAAACCTAAATTTGGCGGCAAGTTACGTGGACAGAGGCAGACGGCATCAGGCGCCCACTCCAATGCTGTGGGTGACGGTGCTGACGACGGCAGTGGCTTCCCGCTTGTCAGTGGCTGAGTGGCACAGCGGCTCCCTGTTGCCACCGGTGGCTTCCTCAGGCTGGCAGAGGCAGTCGAGGCCAGTGCCCGAGCCGCAGGAGTGTTTCAGTGCGTCAAGCGCCAGGCCTGATGGTGGCGGGACCTCCAGGGGCTCTGGACGCCACTCCTGGGAGCTCAGTCCCACGTCGGTGTTCAGCTAGCCCGGGGAGTGCTTGGCCCATGTCATCACGAATAGCTCGTCACTTTCTTGAGCCACGGTGGTAGCCTGCCCCCCGCGACAGACCCGGCTCTGGTTCATCACCTGTCGGTGCCAAGAGCAAAGTGCCTTCCACAGCCACGGTCCTGGGCCCAGGTGACTGCGGTCACCACCACAGGCAGAAGCGAAGACAAAGGCGGACCTCGGCGATCCCTGCTCTCCAGGGCTCTGCCCTTTTGTACCCCCCACCCGCCACATTGTATCCGGTTGATTGGTGTGATCAGTGGCGTGTAGAAGAAGCTGGCCTGCCACTTCCAGGATGAGGCTGTGAAGACCTCCCGGCTGGCGTCGTCCAGGTGCTGCGTGCCCCCCGCCCCCTCGCCGGCCCCCTCCCCTTACCCTAGGAGATGTCCCACGGAGGACGCACACGAGGATTAGCTGCTCTGTCCCCCCAGCAGCCAGGGCAACGAGCTCCAGGCCCAAGTCTTCTCAGGCCGCGAGCTCTCAGCTGTCGGCTGGTTGCCAGGTCTCCGGGACACCCTGAGTCCAAACTACCCAACCCATCTGCTCCTGGACTCCTGACCCACAGAAACTGTGCGAGGTTTTATTTGTTTATTCATTTGTTTGTTTGTTTATATATTTAGAGACAGGGTCTCATTCTGTTGCCCAGGTTGGGGTGCACTGGGGCAATCACAGCTCACTGCAGCCTCCAGCTCCTGGGCTCAAGGGATCCTCCCACCTCAGCCTCCCAGGAGCTGGGACGACAGCAGCAAACCACCACACCAGGCTAATTTTTTGTTTTAAACTGCTCGATTCTGGGGTAATGTGTTACACAGTACTAGGTGATACTATACGTATGCTGGCTATTTCTAACTCTGTTATAAAGCTTAAAGAAATAAACCCACTAAATAATGTAGTAAATTTCTTTCTTAGCTGGGTGTGGTGGCTCACACCTGTAATCCCAGCACTTCGGGAGGCTGAGGCGAGAGGGTTGCCTGAGCCCAGGAATTTGAGACCAGCCTGGGCAGCATGGTGAGACCTTGTCTCTACAATAAATCAAAAAAAATTGATGTTTTGGGATGTGGTGGCTCACACCTGTAGTCCCAGTTACTCAGGAGGCTGAAGTGGAAGGATCACTGAGCCCAGCAGGTTGAGACTGCAGTGAGCCATGAGTATGCCACGGCACTCCAGCCTGGGCAACAGAGTGAGACTCTGACTCAAAAAAAAAAAATTCCTTTCTTTAACCAGCTAGACAAGTCTATGATCTGCTCAGAGTTTGAAAGTCTCAGTTCAAGGCATAGTCATAGAGCCAGGGAGCTTTCGTGACTGACCCAAAAGAATGTTCATTCATGGTTACAGGCCTGTGGGAGACAACAGGAGACAGAGTCTGATCCCACAGACAGGTGAGCGGATGACAGCCGTTCAAATTCCTAGGCCGGCCAGGGTCTTGTGGCAAAGTGAAGGTCTTAGAGTAGAATCCTAGCACCAGAATGGGTGTGCTGGAGTGAATTTGCATCTGGTTCTGGGTCAGTGGCCAGTCAGGCCACAGGATCCTGGGACGTCACCATTCTGTGTTGTGTCGACATTGTGCTGGCGCAGCTTTCAAGCAGAAAGTAGCCCTTATCGGAGATGCCTTGACAGCACTGGTGACCACACGATGGGAGATACACCCCACAAAGG